TAAGCAGGAAATACCAAAAGAGGGTTGCGTTTGCATTGCAAGAATCTAGCAGTTGTATGGATATTAATAGCCGAGATGTGTGTATTGACTTGCTTGTGATGTCCTCCGGGCAATGGACTAGGAGTTAATCTGCCTCCAGCCTTAACTGACCTTGTGACACTTTGTCTCTAAGGCATTGAACTAAGTCTACAAACATCTGGGACCAGTTCTCAGCTACTTTAAACTTCCTTTGTGACCTTGGGCCAAGGCACTCGTGTGCACTGGTTTCTCGAATCTAAAGCAGTGGTAGCACTAGTATTGCGCCTTTTGTCTTTAGTGTTGAGTACGTAAATACACGGGGAGGGGGGTAGCAATGGCCTCTGCTGTCTGCTCTGCACAGGTGAGAGTACTGGGCCCTGAAGTCTCTGGGCGCTTTTGTAATCCACCTAAGTGAGACTATAAATCAACTCTGAAGACTCATCGTTTGACTTGAAAATAGTGCCTTGTTCTTTAGGTGACTTGGCCTTTGCTCTAGCCCGATGCCTCAGATGATTTTGTGATTGAAGTTACTACAGTCAGAAAGAAATAAATGGAAAAGCAAAAGGAAAAAGATTGTCTTGTTTAAAGGAACTATTGGGTTTTATCGTGACCTAAAGCAATGTGCTTTATTCAGCAATTTTTACAAACAGGAAGCTTTATTTAAAAGGCTACAGCACTTGCTAAATCATGGAGCAAGAGAAAACCAAGTGCAAGAATTACTTTAAACAGAGCAGATTTTGCGATTTTCAGAGCTTTTCTTATGTCCTTAACATACAGTTTTAATTGCCTTAGATACATCAGAAACATTGTTTGAATACTACGCTGGTGCAGCAAAAGGGAAGTGAAATCTAGGTAATCATTTGAGAAGTTTGCTTTCATGACGGAGACTGCTAATATGAAAGCACACCCCCTCTTTGATCTGAAGGGGGTTTTGGGGCATTGGGGGAGAAAAGAAAGCAAACAGCAGTGGTAGTCGAATTGGCTCCAGACCTTCTCTGAGCTTTATTGGAGACTTGTATTTACAGCATTCTCCTTCCTGTGCTGGGATCTGTTTTTCTGCTTAATCAGAAACAGCCCAAAATCACACTGTACATAGATAGTACTTGGCTTTGTACTCTGCTTCTCTCAGTACCATATTTCCATTTTACAGATGGGAAAACTGAGGTCTGGGAGTAGAGCTTTTCCCAAGGCTACATAGCATGGCAGGGAATAAAGCCCTCATGACTTCCAGAGTAGCCATCTACACCCCAGCTTGCAAGGCTCAAAGAGTATCGTAATGGTCTAGCATTAGAATTTCCTGCATTTTGTTCTGTCTTGTCTATTTTTGCCAGAGGCAATGTTTATACTGCCCTGTTTTGAATTACTTCCCTTCTGCCTTGTAAAATCAGGTCAACAGGTCTGTAAGTAGGTATTTTCAAGATGAAATGATTCAGGCTTTACCACTGCATGATCTCACAGCACCATAAATAAGTGCTCATCTCTTTCTCATTTCATTTCTCATCTGCAAGCCATTGGAGGTAATATATTCTAGGTGGAGATGTGGACCCTGGCCTTGATGTGAGCATCTGTGCCTTAGCACAGTGGGAGGTTAGTGACTTGAAGGAGAAACCCCTCTGAAAGGGATTGAGCCTGCCCAGCTGCTGCAGACTCCTGATTTCCTGCAGTGATTTTTGTGTTTCCATAAAACCTGCTTACTTGATTCTTAATGTATAATTTTTATTGTTCTCTGGGTTGTGAAATGTGCTCGCGCTGGGCTGAACCAAGACAAGTTAGACACTGTTCCATATTTATTTGTCTGATAAGAGTTCCCAAAGTGGGGCTGACTGAATGGGGCTCCGTGTACCCATGAGCCTAACACCTCAAAGTCTGCTGAGTTGTTCCTGGTAATTTAAACCTCTTTAAACTTCCCTGTCTGGCCTGAAAAGACCTGACAAACACCTCACTTCAAAAGATCTAATTTTAATCCCAGAATACCCACCTTCTCCCCAAAGTGGTCTATGGGGAGGTTCCTAATATCTTAGAGCCTGGGCTTTGTTTCCAGTAGTTCTGCCACCATTCCTATGGATAATGCCTGAGATGTCATTCAAATCAGATGCACCAGGCACTGCAAATAGTGCTCTGAAGGAATTGCAGTGTCTTTCAGAGGTAAGATTCCCATGCTAGTGTTTTTCCAGCTCCTAGTTTCTGCAGACCATAATGGAGTTATTTTCCCGTGTTTAGATCTAACATGAGAAGCTTGGGATCTTATCTTAGTCTGTCACTTTAATGCTGTGTGTTGCATACATAAAAATGGGACGAAAGATTTGGTTTCTGTTAACTCGGGAGAACTGTGTGGCCTTCCTAGCAGAGCTGGAAAGGAAAAGGAGGGAAGAGATTGATATACTTCACTGCAATCCTCGCATCTAAATATAAATAGTTCTCTTCTTGGATCCTTTCAGTCTGAACTCTGGGTGATTTGACCTTTCTTTGATAAAAGCTTTCTTTATTTGCAAGAATAAAAGGGCAAGGGGGAAGAAAGGACACAGCAGATTTTTTTTTTTTATTTTTTTTTAAATATCTTAAAATCCTGGCAGTTGATTTCTGCAATAGCCAGCGCCTGCTGTTGAACCGGCTCCGTCCTGTACTCCAACTTTTCTCCTCCTCTGAGTCCCTTGAGTGAACTTTGCATTTTACTCTAAAGCATTAAGCAGAAAATTTCTAAGAAAGTTTATGGAAGTGTGTTTTCTCACAGAGAGACCATGCTTTGATGGGGAGGGATATCCTGGGCTCCAGTCCTCACTCTTGCTGCTGCCTGCACGTATCCCTTTGAGCAAGTGACTTGGTTTATGCCCATTACACCACTAACCTTGGTTTTCCTTACGTCATAACTTGAGCTGAAAGAAATATTAGTATTAAATGCTGCTGGGTTTTCGTATGTACACGCTGTAGTTTTTTGACCTCAGCATCAAAACACAGCTCTGGTTAATATGTAAAACCACTGAACTCTCTGGCTTTGGTCCGGTTAGCAGCCTGTGCAAGGGGATGCACAGGTGCAGTATTTATAACCGCTCCAGACTACACGCAAGTCTTTCTGGCACTAGTTTTAACCATTAATTGCCACTTTAAATCCAGCAATAAATTATTTGGGCAACCACACTGCATGAGCCCACTGCCAAAAATAAATCAGAGCCTGAGAATTACTCAGGTCCCCTTCATACCTCAGGACTGTTGCAGCTGGATGGGGTAGGGCACCTCCTGGACTCAATCTTGTTGGGTTTTGGTGTCTCGCATATCTTCTGGACGTAGTTTAAGGCATCATCCTGCAAACTATGTTAGTAGCACTTGAAATGCATTGCATGTATGTATTGGTTTGCTGTTTGCTTCTGAAGCGCAGGGTGGTGTGTGGTGGTGTGCGGGAATGCCTCTGGATAAGCCTTCTGATGCTTTGCAAATTGGATTTTGTGGCTCACTTCCCTGTCCTCTTGGATAAAGTTTCCCCTTGAGCTCCACTACAGGAGAGGCAGCTGTGTCTGTCTCAGGACTGCAAAGCCTTTTATAATGCTCTGCCAGATCAGGAGTCGCTTGGAGGGGAGAGACTTTCCATTTCAGAGTGTGCTCCTGAATCCCACCTGAAACCTGCTTGAGAGTAAGCATGCTGCTTAGTTTACTTCTGAGTTTCCGCTTGGTCTGCATGAGATTCCTGTTGGTTTGGTGCCTTTCCTGCTGCTTTTACACACCGTGGTATAGAGTTTTTGCTGGCTAGGAGCCCTCTAGTAATGACTGTTATTTTAGAAAACCTAGTTACTACTTGGGCTGCCTCTGTATCATACGGTGAGTTGTAGTGATTACATGCTGGGGAGGAAATGAAATGATCAGGAAAGGCCTACTTCATAAAGAGCAACAGTTGACTTTATTTTAAACCAATTAAATTGGGGATTAGAGAGTGCTGTTAAGTTCTACCCCTAGTTAAAGAAAACAATGCAGGAAAATGTACTGTATTAGCAAAAGCATGATTGTCTAGGCTTATAATAAATCCTGTATAATTCTTGAAAGTATTAAGTTTAAAGCAAGCCAGCATACAAGGAATGATGGGTTGTAACAGAGAGGGCCGTCTTCAGGAAAGGTGAACCATTTCAATTTGCTTATAAGAATGTACTGATTCAAGTTCACATGCCCTTTCTGGGAGAGGGTGGTAGCACTTCTGACAGGTGGCAACAGAAACCAAACTCCTTTAACAGCAAGCTCAAGAGCAGTGCCAGCTTCTTACACTTGTGTTTCTCTACTCTTTTAAACAGGACACCTTGCCAGGGCTAGAGGGAAGATTAATCCTCTACAGGGTTAATCCTTAAGTCCTTGGTGTTCGACTTTTGAACAAGGGAGGGAAGTTAATATTCTCAGAAGTGCTTGGAGACCACCTACTCTTTCGTAGAGACTGCCAACAGCTGTCAGATGGAAATGATTTTTGGACAGTAAGAAGTCAGCATGGAATCACACTGGTGACCAAGAGCAGGCTCTCTATCCCACAGTCTTTGACTTACACCCCTAGTGACTCTTGCCATGGAGGGAAAAGGGTTTCCCAGAGCCATCAAAATTCTTCAGAAGGGTGTGAATTAGCAATGGGTTGATGGTTTACTGTCTCTTGTGGTTAACTTTAATAGACACATGTTCCTCTGAAGATGTTTTTTGGCAAGCACATGTATGGCTGAAAGATGTCTAGTAGCAGGAGAACGTGGGAGCTCTGATTTAAAACCAGGATGGTCTGATAAAGCACCAAGTAGTGAATCCCTGTACCGGCTGTGTGCTTTGTGACACTAACCCTTCTGCTCGACACAGTGCTGTGTGGTCTGTTCTCTGTATTACTGCTCTTAACCACAGCTGTCCAGCCACTGGTTTGCTTCCAGATAACCAGCTTGGTGTGAGAACTCTGCTGAAATTTGTCCTTGCCAGCTGTCCGTCTCTTTGGTGTATGCCTAAGTGTTCCCTGTACGTTTTCTGTCTTGCAGCATCTGGAGAGGGCCAAATGTGAACTGCGTTGACAGTACTGGATACACTCCACTGCACCATGCTGCTTTGAATGGTCATAAGTGAGTCATCTTATAATGCCTTTGATCATAGGGGATGTAGTATGTGCTTTACAAGCTACAGTTTCTGTGTAATTCATTCACCAGTCTAATGCTGTTTCCACTGAAAATGTGGCGATGGTGCAGCACTACACCATCTTCAGGACAAGAAGTGAAGAACATCAGTGCAGTGAAGCTATAGAGGCATTGGCCGCTGCACAGTATGATCATACATCTCTTTAAAAATTTGGCGAAACATTGAGGTTTTCAACCACCCTTTTATTTATAAACAATTTGGATAAGATATAACAACATATTAAAGGTGGCTTCTCCAGTAACAGTCCTCTGCAGTCTGTCTGGTGTCCAATGTGTTGCTGTGCCTGCACCACTTAAAATTTGCTTTTGTGCATATTACATTTTTAAGTAACTGCAGTCTTCAGCATGGTAAATCTTGTATTGTTCATTGCTACTTAAGACATTGAGAAATTGAATAGTGTTAAAGTCTTTATTCATGTTCATTGTGCTGGTGCAATTCACTTTTCACCAGAGTGGCTTGTGGATGACTTCAGTCCCTATTCAGCTCCATTAGTGTGAAGGTAACATAGATCTTTCCTGAGCTCATCTCAGCAGTTTGGGTTTTTTGGGGTTTTTTTGGTTTTTTTTTTCCTTGGGCAACATTTACTAGGAATGCTTTAAAATCACATTTCAAGAGGATCTCTGAAATACTCCTGTTCAGATTAACTTTTTGTAAAATACTTACTGCAGAATGTAAGCTGTGAAACAAGGACTGAATATCTTATGGACTGAAGTTTCCTTTTCTTGCAGGGATGTTGTGGAAGTTCTGCTGAGGAACGATGCACTAACCAATGTAGCAGACTGTAAAGGCTGTTACCCTCTTCACCTGGCAGCTTGGAAAGGGGATGCAGACATCGTGAAGCTCCTCATCCACCAGGGACCTTCGCATACTAAAGTGAATGAGCAGGTCTGCATATTTTTCTCTAAAATATCGTTGAATTGCTTCCCTTGGATGGAGGGAGATTAATTCAGCTGACTCCTGACCCTTCCCAAACTAGTAGTAATTGTTATAAAGTCCTATTTGCTAATGGGATAAGAAGGGCACTGCCTAAAGCAAATACCTCCAGTATTCTGAGTTAGTGGTTGAATGAGTAAGGTATATATGTTTATACAGAGATAATGAGAATCACTCCACATCTAGGAAGTGGTCTCCTGCTTTCACACTGGGCTTCTAAAACTAACCCATAGTTTTTCCTTTCAGTTGCTGGATAGTTGAAGGTTTCTAGTTCTGTCACAGGATATATTGGCTCCCTTCTTTGGGAACTAATCAAAGCAGCTTTGTTTAGTCTTTGTTTGGCCATGCTCTCTTAGCTACTCTCCTGGCTTGTCTCTAGCACTTGCTCCAGTTAACTAATTTGTAAGTTGTAAGATAACTTTAACCCTACTTGCCCCCAGATAAATCCCTAGCTTAATCTTAAAGAATTATTTTCTCAATCAGGCAAGAAAAATTTCTGGTGGATTTCTTCCCTTTGTCAAGCTGATAGTTTTTGGTAATGCAGAGGGGTTGATTTGTACAAGACAGCTATTCTGTACAGCGGCTGCTGTCTCAGCTTTGGAGAGCTGGCTCCCATGTAACTTCTCTGTGGAGGTCAGCAGGTATCTTACAATTCCAGCAAACTTCTGAAATGCTACTGCTGGAAGACCCAAATATTTCTTTTGTCTAAGAGTTTTGGATAAGGGAACTGGTTTACTGAGTGAGGCCAGCTGAGCAGTGTTACTTTGAACCACTTATGGCTGAGTGCTTGGGCAGACATGCAGTAACAGATCCAAATCAGATGGTTATAGCTACAATAGCCCTTGATTTCTTGTCCCTAAGGCTGGAATATCTAATGTGCCTGTGAATCAACTCCTGAACCACTCAGGTTTTCATCCAGGAGGAGAGGAGTACACCAGAATATGTTTGTCTGCCTTAGTACCACAAGGCTAAAAATGTATATTCCTTGAAGTTAATTCACAAGTAGGTCAGATACTCATGGCTCAAGCTTAGCAAAATCTGTCAAAAGTCAAGATGAGCAGCTGAGAACTGTGAGTTTCTGCTGTTTAAGTTTGATCTGCGGTGCATACTTTTCAGAAGCTGGGGAGCAAACTCCCTTTGGAATCAGGTTTAGGAGTCCTAATCCTGCTTCCAGCCATACTTTGTGGGGACCACAGTGTCACGCTTAAGTTTTCTATTCCTCTGTATCAGATGGCTAACTTCATGCATCAGGCTGCTCCAAGGCTAAATGGTTGCTTCCAAAGCATCATGAAATGAGATATATGGTGGTAATGCTATTCACTACCACTCCTCAATTGAGCAGAAATAACTGAGTGTGTGTTTTAATGTCTTTATTGATAGTTTTCCAGTTTGAGGCTGTGGTTAATGTCTTCAGGCACAGCTGCAGGCATTCAGTCTGTTTAAATAGATTTGAGAACTATGGTTAGCTGTTTACAATCAATCTGATAAGAATTGACTGAGGGCCCTGAGTGTAAACTGTTCTGCTCCGAGTAGGACAGGTATAGGGGAAACCTTTGCAAAAGATTAAAAGCTTAGTGTAATCCTTCCAGGTAAGGTTTCATTAATGTCTGTTTAGTAGGAGCCTTTTTAAATGAGAAAAGTCAGCCAAATAGCCTGTGCTGCTTGTGTTTGGAGTCTTGTAAATGAAATGCACAGTGGTTCAAGTTACAGGAATCGGCAGCTGGAATGGCTTCTGCTGTTAATAGCTTTGACTGGAACAAGATGCTGTGTTCTGTCATTTCCACCCCTTGGGAGTCACTCATTGCTTTGTTGCTATATCTCACCCATTTCATTATCACATTTTTTTTCTTTTTCCTCTTCCTTTTTGTAGAATGCTCTTGAGATCAAAGAACTCAAAAAGTACGGCCCCTTTGACCCATATATCAATGCCAAGGTGTGTACTTTGCTGTCAGCATTTCACTGCATCATTACTCCAAGCTGCACTCGCGTGCTTCCAGGTGCAATGTCATCCAGTTGCAATAATACCTGTTCAGTTTGCAGCTGCTTGGGGAAAATTAAAATGCAACCATTTATTTACTGTGGGTTTCTTTCTTCAAAGCAGTTATAGAAACATAATTTAAGGGAAGCTTTTCCTTACTTTCCTGGGGGCTCCTTCATTGCTTAGCCTTGTAGGACTCACGGTGATGGTCAGTTTGCTTGATTTGGCTGGATGACTTCCAAAAGGTAATGTTACTTCAATTAAAATGCTTTAGGTTTTGTTTCATATGCTAATGTTGCTGATAAATGCAAAGAGAAGGATTTTTTGTTTCCTGCTTAAACGTGGATGCATTTTCTCTGTAGGCTGTTTGGAGTGAATTTTCACGCCTTTTCTCCTACAAAATGCATAATGCTGTATTTGTCATTTGAATGGACAGTTAATTCTTTTGGTGGTGGTGGGGAGAAGGGAAGGCAGTAATGTTCATGCCTCCCTTCTCAAGTCCTTCGTGTCCTGCTTATTGCATCAGTTCTCTCTTTTTGGATGTTAAGTCTGTTGTGTCGTCTGACCTTTCAGCCCTAGTCTTCTGTTCCTGTTTTCTTGCCTATTTTGCTTCTCTCTTACTTTTAGTTGTTGAGCTACAAAAAGGCATGACTTCAGCACTTGCGATGCACTGAGGCTGAGCAATTGAGGAAGCAGATAAGAAAGTTCCTGGTGGTGTTTTCTCAGACACCATTTTTCATTTTAATTTATAGTGGAGCTGCAGGCCAGTGATGGCATAATAGTCTGCTGATTTATCATGAGATACTTCTGCTGTAAGCCACCATGCCACGGTTGCTTCCAGCCAATTATTTTGGATCCAGCCATCCATGGCAGATTTCTGTGTCTCAAAGTTTAGTTAAAACTTCCACTCTGCTTGATCTGCAGTACCTTAAAAACACACATTCAAAGTTCCTGAGCTTGCTAACCGCTGGGAATTATGTTTGTTTTTGCAGACTTCTATTTCAGGAAATACTCTAGTGCATACCTCTTTAAGCACAAATATATTTAGATGAAACTCATCCGTATTGGTGATTTTTACAAAAATCCAGATGGGAATTTTACAACAACAAATGTATTCTGTGGAAACATCATAGTCGAGCAGTTCTGTTGCCTGAAACGGTCTTTCTAAAACATTGTCAATAGCAAACTAAAATCTTATGCATGCCAGCATTAAAATGTTGAATGAAGAAGGAATAGATGAAATATACAGTGAGGTCACTTTCTTGGGGGTTTTTGTTTACAAGGTATTCTAATTTGGATTTTATATTTTTTGACAAGCGCTTTATTTTAAAATCTCAGTTCAGTTTTCAAGATGGCTGTAGTGCTCCTGAGAGCAAGGCTAGTGTTTTTGAAATCTTTGCCTTGGTTTTAAGGAGAGAGATGAGATTTATACACAGTCTGTTAGGTTCATCACAAGTTCTGACCAGCTTTCCACCAGTTTCTGACCAGGTTTGACAAAGAGCATGTGGAATCATACCTGTCATGCAAACCTTGATGTTTTCTCAATAGCCTGGCTGCAGGTGGGAGAACCACAAAAAGTCCAGGTGCAAAGTGTAGGAGTCCTTGCTTAGTTGGTGCTTTCCAGCTTCTCGGCTCCCATGCAGGATGGGATGTCATACAGAAATGATTGAAGTGAGATGTTTCATCTTTCCAAACATTTTGGCATATTCGGAAGGGTGGGAAAGCATTTATATAAGGACTACATTTAATATCCTGTGGAGGAAGAGAAGAAAGCCAGAAGCTTTTTGCTCTCCCTAAAAGTTAAAGAAATAGTTAACAGCTTCTTTTTATGCCCCTTCCTTTTCAACATCTTTTGTTCACTACAAGGTTCCTGCAGTATGTCTGCTACAGGCCTGACAGACTTCTGAAAAGCAAATGATAGCAGCAAAGTTAAGAGATGGAGCAGCAACTTTGCTTCAGTAACTCCTGCTATCTTGAATTTGGTTCTTTACTTTGTATGAAGCAACCAACCAGTTGAGCAGAGCTGAAGTAGAAAAAGCTGTAACATAGCTCAGGATTGTGCACTGCACAAACTACCTTTGTCTTTTTTAATTGGAAGCAAATGAATCATGCAGATTGGGTTTAAAGTGCTATAAATCTAAATGGGCTGCTGAGAAAAGTGGAAGCCTACCATCTGGAGTCTGCAAATGAAACCGGGCAATGAACCCACCCGCCGAGCTCCCGAAAGCTTGTTGGACATATGGGGATAACTTTTTTTCTGAAATGTGTTTGGCATTGTTGGGCACCTGTAGGAATGAAGGAGGCCTGTTCATCCTTACTCTGCTCCTGGCAGTGCCGTGTGGGATACTGATGAAAATCGTGTGCTGCAAAAGGAGGGAAGGAGATGGTGCAACTCTCTGGGCAGCTCCAGCCAGCTCTTCTGGCCTGCTTTGTGCCTGAGATTGTGATGTGCCTTGGCTGTCACCTCCTGGTGAAGTTTGGATTTTGCTTAATGTTTTTTTTCCTCTTTCATTTCGGCCTGCCTTTAACTGAAACTTTGTAGAGTGCATGCCAGCGGGACATCCTTGTTCTGTGCGTTAGGATCAGATGTGTCACTGGAGCAGCAAAATAGCAGGTTTTTAATAGGGCAAGGCTCCATTAGCACACTGACAAAAGTCCTACAAAGGAATCTTAAAAATAGGTTGGATGGAACCAAAGGGTCAAGTAGCCTCTTTCCCCAGCCCTGAGGCAGGATCAGGTCTACCTAAACCATTCCTGACCAGTGTTTGTCTAGCAGCTTCTCAAAAACCTCGGAGAGGGACAGCTCTGTAGCCTCCCTTGACAGTTTATTCAACCATTCAAATCTGTGCAGGTTAGAAACTTTCCCTTATTTAAACCAAGTCTCCCTTTCTTCAGTCAAAGCCCTCTTATGGTGTGTTAGGAACAGGCGTGCAGGCAGATAAACTTTAAGGAGCTGTAGCTTCTCCATTTTAGCATCTGATGAGGAGCATAAGGGCTGTGGTATCTAGTTACCAGGGCTTGAAAACTTTGATGCAGCCCATGTTAAAGCAGAGGCATTTCTGCTTGTGTTCCCATTTTGTGGTCTGTAGGCAGGCATCATATGAGCCCAGCTTCTCACTCCCAGCTGTGAACTGGGGGGGATGCTAGGATTCCTGCAAGAATGCAGCCCCTGGGCCCTGTTGAGTGTTCTATTTTTCTAAGAAGTTTTGAAATTTGAACCCATATGCCTTCTGGCTGCTGGAAAGGAATTTTCTTTTTCCATCTCCAATAAATATGTATGCCTGAGCACTCTGCTCATTGTTCAGGCTCCACTCTGGTTTGTGCTTGGAGAGGCGATGCAGGGAAGGGAGGCAAACTCCCTTGCCTGGAACGGCTCTAGTATTTCTGGCTGCTCAAAACTCTCCCAAAATGGAGGCAATAAAGACTTATGCAATCGTGGCAGCTTCCAGTACGCAGTCTGTGATGGGGAAAGACTTGCTGTAAAGATTCAGGGGAGTTTACCACCTGGTGATTTCTGTTGCAGAAGGAAAGTCTGGGGATTTCACCCCGAGCGTCAGAGCCCTGACCTGCTTAAGGAAAATTGGACTAAATTGCAATGAAGATGGGGGAAAGTCTCCAACAATTATGTTATTAAAGGATGTTGTGTTCCCATTTCTGAGCCATCAGGCAGGTGTTTGGAGTTGCTGTGTGCTTTAAAGCACCCTTGAAATATACGGTCTCTATGCCAGGGAGGGATTGAGAGGGGGACAGTCCTAGCAGTGGAAATCCCTGGTAGCCAGGGCTAGCGTGGCATGAGCAGTGCATACCCCTCATGGCTCTTTGGCAGAAGATACCTGCTGCTCTAGGGGGACTGGGGTTATCTACTCTTTCCGCAAAAATTGCTAGCGAGCCTCCCTCATTGCTCTGGGGCAGGCTGAGGGCCTTGGTCCAGCTGCGTCATGGGCTCGCTGATACCTGGGTTCCCTTCCTTGTCAAATAATAATGGGATTTGCCAACCTTTTAAATGCCTTGAGACCAGCAGCTTAAGCTGATTGATAAGTGTGATCTCTGTAGTTCTCTATTTTCTCCACTTCTCACTCCATATGTATATTTTATGTGCAGACTTCTTTATTCTACAGTAACTTCTGTCCACTTGTATGTGCCTTGCTTCACCATGGCTGCCTCTGCCACTCCAAGTATAGAGCCTATTGTCTGGCTTTGAAATTCTGTGCTGACAGTGATGCCATGCTTTCCTTACCTTCTTAAATACCTCACTTCTGCATGTGGCTGTCACTGCTTCCTGCCTCCTTAGTCTTTGCTTTTATACAATTTGCAGCTGCAGAGCGCCTCTCCAGAACAACTTGCTTCCCTTATGCTTTTCATATGGCTGAAAAAGATGCAAATACCGGATAAAAACAAATGGGAGTTTGCATGCATGACTCCTGTAATCCTCAGAATGACTTAACACGTTAATAAGATTAAAGTACTTGTACAACAGAGCAAGTTCTGCAGTGTGGTTGTGAAACGGTGCAAAATACTGATTGCTCCTACAAGCTGGTATCCAAAAAAGTGCATGTGTTCTCAAAGCAAAAAGGAAGGTATTTTGATCAAATTCAGTTTCTAAAGTAGTACTTCTAGCTCTATTGAGACAAGTATGTTCTCTGAGTATTTTTAATGGGAACTGTTCTTAAAATGATGCATTCAACCACGATTCTTTCAGCTAAAGTTGAAGTGTGTAGCAGTTTGTATTAAAGTTTTTATGGGTCAAATTGTTAGATAAGTATTTGTTTTTGAAGTCCTTAAACCAAAATCCCTCTGCGTATAACACACAGTAGTAAAACCAGAAACTTGAGCTGAATTTGATTTGAGAAAAGGCTCTCCTAAATCTGGCGAAGTTCCTATTTTGCACCTGCAAGTGAAATGTGTTAGGTTGCTTGTCTTTCAGTGCTTTACATTGCTGATTTTTAACCTGACAGATGCTGCATTCATTAATTGGATCTGGCTTTCACTGGGGCGGTGTTCTCTTGTTGCTTGGACATCTCTTCCTTCAGTTGACCTGAGACCTTGGCTTGTTAGTGGAATGATCTAATTGCACTGCTTTCTAATTCACAAACTGCATGTAACTTAATGCACCCTTTCTCTAAACAGCCAGCTTGCAAGCTTCAGAATTGCAAAGGTGGAATGGTTGTTATAATCAGGATAAGTAGGATTTGAAACAATTGAAGTTTAAATCTGAAATGATGACAATTAAGCCACAGCAGATAGAATTAATGCTGCAGTTTGCGTATCATATATTGCAGCCTTTTATTTTTGTGGCACCTCAAAGTGTGGGATGCTGCGAACAAGTAAGACTGCCTTCCCCAAGTGCTAGCAGAATTAATGGGAATCCAGATACAGCTCGACAACCCCTTAAACCTTAGCATGGTCCCTTGATTTTGACCTTAGTGTTTTGAAAGCAAGCTATTCCATATATAGCACCTATTTCCTGTAGAGCAGATTTCCCATATCTGAGTAAAGCTTATTGTTCTGAATGTTTCTGAAGCTTTTACTGGGTGGGTCGGTTGATGAGTTCATGAGGGGATGTCTGTGCCTGGTAAATGGCTAGTGAGATGGTGAAAACATTGCTCCAGGCTCTGTTTCAAAGTGGGCTCTCTGCTTCCCGACTGCTTTTTTGTCTTGTTTTTGCATTTAAACTTCAACGGTTTGAGCGAGGCATGGAGTGGCTGTGTCCTCCCCGGTTCTGACACGCTGGCGTTTGTGACCCTGCAGAACAACGACAACGAGACGGCGCTGCACTGTGCCGCGCAGTACGGCCACACAGAGGTGGTGAAGGTCCTTCTGGAGGAGCTGACCGACCCCACCATGCGCAATAACAAGTTTGAGACTCCGCTGGACCTGGCCGCACTCTATGGGAGGCTGGAAGTCGTGAAGATGCTCTTGAACGCTCACCCCAATCTTTTAAGCTGCAACACTAAGAAACACACTCCCCTGCACTTGGCAGCTAGGAATGGTCACAAAACTGTAGTCCATGTCCTCCTGGATGCTGGCATGGATAGCAACTACCAGGTATCTAGTGTGTCTGTGTGTGAAGGGCTGGTCTGATTGCTGGGGGATGGAGAACCCCTGCAGTCATGATAACGGAGAGCTCCACCTAACTCTCCTCCCAGAGGGATTGTTTATGAAAGATGAGTGATAGCTTTGTTTTTCTCTGGGCTGTTTGTTCAGCTCTTGGTTGCTCTGAGAAGCTGCTCAGAGGGATTCTGGTGCTGTGCATGCTTTGCGCCTGCTTGTTAGTTGGACAAAGAGCCCCAGACACATAGCAAGGGAGAAAAAAAAACCCCCTTTCACCTAAGCTGTTCTGCCCTGCAATACTGTGAGCTCTTGATAGCGATGGAGGCAAACTGTCTCTTCCTATCAAGCCACTTGTGACTATGCTGTTTTCACAGCAATAGCTTGTATGTGGTGGTCTTGTCTTTCCTTTTCAGAACATGACCTCTTGCTAAGCTGTAGAAAGTCCTTTCTTGGTCTCTAACCTGGGCCCGCATGTCTCTCTGAAGAGACCATCCCCATTTTCCATTCTCAGCATTGTAATAATATTGATAGTCTATCCTCAGTTGTAGTTACTGTTGCCTAGACTTTGTATATGATGCCATATATTTATTGCTTCTGTAACCTTCTAAAACATGCCTCCTTCACCATTCCCCACTGTCTAGCTTCATGCTATTTTTCCATTTAATTTGCAGACTGAAAAAGGCAGTGCTTTGCACGAAGCTGCTTTGTTTGGCAAGACAGATGTGGTACAAATATTGCTGGCTGCAGGTGAGAGAATGATCCTCTTTTGAAGCAATAACATGGTGATCCCTTCACCCAGAACTTGAGGAAGCACCTTTATAGTGGCAGCATGTTTCTCCAACCAGCTATCAAAAGTTCTTGGAGAGAGTTACAGGAGAGGTTATGTTTTGGTGTTTGGCTTTAGGTCTGCCTCTAGAGCATTTTTTAGCTCCCCCCCAGCGATGATCACAAATGTAAGATCTGACTTGATGAAAGATATGAATTTGCACATAGTTAGAAAATATTCTTGCTTTTGCCTTCTCTACACCTATTGCCATAGGTATTGATGTGAACATAAAGGATAACAGAGGCCTGACAGCTCTGGATATTGTGAGGGAACTTCCTTCTCAGAAAAGCCAACACATAGCAGCTCTTATTGAAGGTAAGTAGTGTGGCTCTGTGTGGGCGGGAGGGAAAGGTTTGGGGTGCTAATTGTGCCAGTGCAAGTACAGGGTTTTGTTCTCTAGTCCTGGAAAGTGCTGAAAACAAAGCAGCTTCAGGTCAGGTCCCTCATTGCGAATCTTACAGGTGTTGGAAGGAATGATGCTTAAATGCTTGGGTGAACTGTCTCCAGACCAAATGTTTGTAGGGGAGCTTCTGGCAGAGCATTTAGGGGGATTAGCTCCTTTGCTTAAGGAGTGTGGCATGACTTTTACATTTCAAATGGGCTTAATTGAGCTTTGTTTAACTCACTTTAGAAGTTAATTAAAATTAAGGATAGCCTAAATCTGCTTGCAGAATGCAAAGTAATAGCTTTAGAAATGGTTTTGGATTAGCTATCCTTTATGTGTCTGCATAGGCAAATAGTCATCCACAGATCTTACATCCTACTCCTCACTTCATTGTGAAGCTTGGGCATGGATTTTGCAGATGAGATTTACAGAAAAGGCTTTGATTACTTGTGGTTTATAAAGAAGCTTGGCCCATTGTGTCTGTCCAAGTTAGGGAATGAAATGTGGCATCTTAGCTAAATTCATACCTTGTAATTATGCTGTCTCAATTTCCTCTCAGCTGTGGGGAGAAAGATCAGAAGCATATGGAACTGGTGTGCATTATTCATGCTTAGCATTTGAGAGCTTTACAGGTTCAAAGCACTTTGCAGACTTTTAATTAAGCTTTGCCTGTGAGGCTGGTAGGTATTATCTCTATTCTGAAATTGAAGACAAAGATGGGCTTTAAAACTGAAGTTCTTGCAGGTAAATGCTGTCAGTTTGCTCCTGTGAGCAAGGTAGCTGCATGAAATGTTCCTGTCTGACTTTATTGATGTAAGCTTAGTGTTTCTGTCTTTGCCTGTGGTTAGGGGACCACAGCTAGAATTGGTTTCTCTGTCTTGTGACTCCAGAAGACCAGACTACATCTCTGTTTAGTGATGTAGCTTGTGTCTGCAACACAAAGTAATCTGCTCCATGACGTTGTGTCCGCACAGGAGCTTTGCAGCTTTCTGATTAAAGACTCTGTAAAAGTTCAAAGAACCATCCTTAACCTTGTGCATGTGATTAAAGAGGCCGCCTGCTTCTATTTTGGGATCTGAGCTGCAAGATTTAATAATGTGCTTTGGTTATTTTTTGGAGACTTAATAAGCTGACAGTTGGCCTTCCATCCACAAGGGAGGAAGTACCATATGCTGAAGTGAACGTAAAACTAGATTGACATAAACTGACCCTGGTGCCCCACCTCATTGCAGATTACACAATTGGGAAGAGAAGTGCCAAAGCTGCGGAGAAGACTGTTCAAGCACCGCTTGTTCCAGCCACTGATCCTGTGTGCCGGATATCTCAGGGTAGGCTTCCATGCAACACAGCAGCCACTAGCACTCTTCTTCCTGCAAGCGCTGACTTTCCAAGAGCAGAATCTGAGTGATGTACTTATGTCTCTCTCCCTCCCACAGGTGATGTGGAGAAAGCAGTGACAGAACTGATCATAGATTTTGATGTGAACCCAGAAGAGGAGAGTCCATATGAAGCTTTATATAACGCAACGTCCTGCCACTCCCTGGACAGCCTTGCCAGTGGGAGATCTTCAGATCGAGAGTCTGTGAATAAGGAAGTGGAATCAACTGGTCTCAAAGCAGCAGGAGTCAGGCCTGTATGTAGCTATGTGTGTTCATCTCTGCTTGCCTTAGAAGGATAGGTAACTTACCTCCATTTTCATGATTTTGCAGCAGGCTGCCAGTCCCCCAACTTGAGGAAATCTTTAAACCCATCCCTGACATTGATTAGAGCAGACAGGTTCCTCTCCTTTTTCACTGGCCTGTTCACATAACCTCTGTGGCGTTGCCCACAGGTAACCAGTTCTACATGCCTGATTTTCACCTAGTGTTGTATCCTTCTGTTTTTTCTGGCAGTTGAATACTGGTGCCTGTGTTTTGGTTGTCAGGACATCGCAGTTAGCTGAAGGGCTAACTTATTGTCTAGAAGAAAGCTTTGGTAACTCTTGTGTGGAGCATTTTTCTCATCTCTCTTGTTCTCTGCTTTGCCCAAGAGAAGGCGCTCAAAAAATTATCTTTAAGAATATCTTGTGGGAAACTAGTTGGCAGCGGAAACATTTTTTTGGTGTATTACTTGCAGAGATCTGTAGAGGGTACTCAAGGCTTTTCAAAGCAATGCAAAGCTCCTGGAACTGTCTCCAAAGAAGTCTTCCTCACCTTCTGTTAGTTGCATCTGCTGCCCCCTTAGCAATCGGTGACAATGCTGCTATGGGGCAGATGGGATGCTGGCCTTGCAGCATGCTGTGTCAGCTTCAGGGTTTGTTTTCTGGTCGGTTTTACAAAGCCTGCTCCATGGATGTATTTTTGGACAAAAGGCAAAGCAGCAATGAACAATTAAACTGCTGGTGGTACTGTAACTGTGCTTTCTCTCTCTGCAAAGAGCTTCATCCTTTTTCCTGTACTATTAGCAAATGTAGTAGAAAGGAGACAAAAGCTTTAGAAGGCTGACATTTCAGCCAGATCTCTTTTTTAAGGTATGCAGTACAAGATGCACTATCCTGTTATTAACTAGATCTTGGTGGCTTATATCAATCTACATACACTCCTGTATTGATAGTGTCTGTGAAATAAGCTTAGCTCTATCACAAATAAGAAAAGATGAGAGGCTGAACTGCAGTGAAAAGGGAGAAGAAAGAGGGATGTGCTCCAGCAGCTTGCTGGAGTTTCTCCCAAAACTTGCTTGAGTGTGGTGGGTTTTTTTGTTTTGGTTTGGGTTTTGGGTTGGGGTTTTTTTGGTTTTTTTGAGTGAAGGGTTCACCTCTGCTGTCTTTCCCTTTGCCATTAGATGGGGCTGTTGCAGGGCAGGAGTTGCCTTAGAGCTGTGTTCAGCTCTGCATCGAGGCAGGGCAGCGCAGCTCTTCCTGCCCGCAGGCAGTCTTGGGGTATTTGAGGAATGCAGTGCAGCATTGTCTCTTGATCTCTAGGGTTTTGCACTATAAAAGGTGCCTCTGGAATCACTTATGTTACTGTTTCATTAAGACACAAGCGATGTGTCTTCCCTTTCTACCCATTAATGTGAGTTCATTGCTGACCTTCACTGTGAAATGCTTTGCCATTGAGATTACCAGTCTGGGTCTGAATGAACTGGTTTAGGTAATAAAGGAATAAACCTGTGTACACAGCACCTTCCACCTGAGCAGTTTTATTCTCCTGAAAGCATAGTTGGTGCTCACGTGCATCTGAGCTGGCCTTGTGCAGTGTTACCGCTGTGGAGCAGGCGTGGGTGGTCTGTGTTATCAGTAGCAGTCCATCCACAGGACTGCAGTACCGGGAATCTGCAGAAAGGGTCCTCTGCCCGAATAGGTTCCTGCTGGAGAGGAGGAGGAAAGGCAGCAACCATTGCCAAGCTCTGTGCTGTTAGGACTGAACTTCTCCTCCAGCCAGATTAGTTTGAGGAGGTCCTTACCATGCTGCATTCACAGCAGTGTGGACGTAGTGTTGGTGGAGGCAGAAGGGGACATGCTTTAACACAACGCAGTTGACAGTGGTTTTCTAAACCACAGAGAGAACGTCCACCCCCGCCTGCCAAGCCACCGCCTGATGAAGAGGAGGAGCAGCATGTGGAGAAGAAGATAGGCCATGGTGCTTCCTGTGAGGTATGTGGGACTTCATCGGGGGTGTTTTATAGCAGTGTGGTTTAAAGATCGGGTTTAATAATTTGGGAGGAGCCAACTATGAGATTAGGTCCCTTGGAAGTCAGGTTGTGAATATGAAGTACTCTTTCACTCCAGGATTGCTGCTGTCACTTGCCATGGGAACTTCCGTTGTGCAGTTCTTCCAGGGCACCTCTGTGTTGACCTTCAGCCTTACTTTCCTATTCTTGGCTGAGAATTCCCTTAGGAAGAGATTTTTCTGAATCACGTTGCGATGTGGACTGTTGCCCACTTGTACTGATCCCACCAAATGCATCTTCACTTGAGACTGAAACCCAGAGGGCTGTTGCCTCCTGCTTCCTCTGAGCTTCCAGCTGTGGAGGAGATGCGTGGGCTTTTGGGTCCCACTGACGTGAACAGGGATCGGGGGCTTGAATTCAGCTGAGAATCTGGCCCAGCATGTGTTAAAGCTGTCTTCTGCAGAGGTCAATGCATGCGAGCTGCTTTTTTGATGAAACTAAAGCTCTCCTATTCTGCATTGTTGCTCCTGGGCTTCCTATTGCTCATTTTTATTCACCTGCCTGTGAACCTCAGATGTGAGGGCTCTCCAGGAGACCCATCTATGGGGGTGTGTGAAACCACAAATCTGTCTTGGCAACTTCTGCTGACACACAGGAAAATCTTCAAAGCAAAAACAGATCTTGTGGATTGCCTTGCTTTTCCACATGCAGTAGGTTGTATGTAAACCAAGTGGAGTGTGTGCTGCCTCTAGCTGTCGGAACAGACTCCAGTTCACCAGACGCTTTGCTTTGAATGTGTTGATCTGCTGAAGTTCCTACAAGGCATAAATGTGATCTGTTTTCTGCAGTATGTCAAATCTACATGAGACATGAGTAAACATTATTTGCTTTAATAGAACTGACTTTATAGAGAGAGTAGAGCTCCAAAGAGTGCATAAACAGTAAGATTGAAATGTGAAATTGTGGACTGATCTCTCTGCTGCTGTTAAAATGGCTTTGCTGTGTGTGATAACCAGTCCCATGGCTGGCTCTGGGCAGAGGAGAGTTGCGTAGCAGGTCACGGTGTAATTGGAAAGCAGAACTTTATGAGGATGATAACCATGAGGGAGGGAAACGTGTTGACTGCTCCTACTGAGTTATCTTGCCATATTTAATTATAAAACACCTGCTGTGTTGTCCTGCCATTAATGGCTTTGGAAACATGATCCATTAAAGGAAATCTTGCTGGCAAATAGACTTGTACACCAAGTGATTCACTGGGGAGATCTTGATTTGCAACTGATTTCATCGATATAACTTACAGGCAGTGTGTGGTTCTACCTGGAAATGACCTTCTAGATGTATTAAGGCAGTTTTGGGCCCGATTCTTTTTCTTTGCTTGCTACTTCTGGGGTGCTCTGCTTTTCTGACTCTTGCCCATTATTTATCATCTCAGTACATGTTCTCTCTGGGTTGGGCACGCGTGAACAGGAATACACTTAGGGAATGCTGTAAATGTCTCGGAGCAGCATCCTGATCTGCCATCCTCCAGACCTCCTCTCATATTAGAGCCAGGACAGTTAGTCATTGAATATCCTGGGGTTGGGCCAGACTCTAGTTTCAAAAGTAGTCTTTTTATTCCATTGCCAAGATGGGGCTATCAGTCAAAACAGATGTGCATAAACAAGAAACTTAACTTTCATCATGGAAAAACATTAGTACAAACAGGCAAAAGCACTGATTGTTTCGAGGTGCTTGACTCCCTTCTTTCACTATCTGCAGAAACCTTCTGGGTTTGTAGCTGACTAAGAGTCTTGCATTGTCAAATTGAACTTCAATTTCATTTGTTTGCTACTCATCTCCGAAAAGGAAGTGCAGATAAAAGACGAGGCGCCATGGTTGTTCCGCAGTTCGGTCTGCAGTTCTGGTGAGGGAGGATGCTGTGGATTAAGCACGCTTTAAAGAGCATGCTCATTAATAACAACATCTTATTTTTGGGCTTTGCTAATAGTGAATATTTATACATGCTAACCAACATGTATAAATAAATGAAAGATGAATTGGAAGAAAGTTTTGTTTGATTTTGTTACTCCTGGTTGCAGAGCCTACAGAGCAAGCATGGTTCTCCAGGAAACAGTGGTCTTCATTTTGAGTGAACTTGAACCTGAAACTCTATTTAAAGCTTGGAAGGATGAGAGACAGGGAACATAAAGTGTAACCAGGCCTATAAATGCATGCCCAAAAGTTTACAAAGCAAAAGCTAGGAATTGTGTGCTGCTGGGGAGCTACTGCCTTTGAATGCGTTCAGTGCATTTGAAAGAGGACAGCACAATAATCGTCATCTGCAGGAGTCTTAGGAGTATACTAAAGCCTGGCTTGATGTCTAGGATACAACTGTTATGACAGGCTGCTGCTGCGCGGTATTTTTCCAAGATCTCTGGCGAAAGCCTGTTACCTACTGTTATGGTCTGATGTTTTTGTGCCACCATCTGGTCAGAGGTTTTTTTTCCTTAATTTGTTCATTATGAGCTCCTTCACCTGAAAAGGAGCAGGTCTGCCTGACAGCTCATGCTTGAAGCAGGTAGAATAAATACTTTCTTTGCTGGACATGGCCCATTTCCTCCCATTGAGAAAGTTGATTTAAAAGCCAGCTGGGCTTATGCAGAAACAGTACACGGATGTAGGAGTCCTGTCTGTGCTGCTGACTCCTGGGTGTCTTTCCAAGACTCCCTAAGCTTCCAGAGGTCCTGGCTAGATTGCAGTCGGGTAGGTACCTATTTGCCCTTGAAGCAACTCTGATGCTTTCAGTTTGGGGAAGAAATTCGAGGTGGTGCTTAGTCTGCTGTCTAGACAGCAGCAGTTCCAGGAGTCTGTGAGCAGTATGAGCGCCCTCCTCGGGGGGATGTTTTGTTCAGACCTGTTCTTCCCTGTCTTGGCAGCAGGTAGGGATCACTTGTTTTCTGGGTTGGGTTTGACCCCAACGCGGTTGGCTGGGTTGCAGTAGGCACACATGGCTCCTGGGATAGGGTTGCATCGACCAGCCAGGGTCTGGCCAGGAGATGGTGCTGAAAGGCAGCTGACCAAGCAGGCAGGGTGCCTTGAAGCCCAGTTTAGCCCCATTAGCACTGGGATGGCACAGGTGGCTCTCTTAAGGGTGTTGAATGCCTGTCATCCTTGGCGTTGAGGTAGACCAACATGTGCAAGTCTGCAGCAAGACTCATTTGGATCCTGCATCGAGACCCCATCCCTGCACATGGATGGTGGCTTTCCAGAGCAGCTTGCTGGAGGGTCTGCCAATATTACAAACAAGCTCTAATCAGAGGCTTTTTGGGATTTAAATGAGCACAATCGCTGCTGCACATCCTGAGGTTAAACTGAGTTTATACAGTGTTGCCTGAGGGCTCTTTAGTCCTAAATAAGCTGTGCATCCTGAGGTTAAAAATGCTAGATCTGAGGCTTCTGAGAAGGTGGCAGGGATTTGGGCTTTTTTTTTTTTTTTTAGCCATGTCCTAATAGGGCCAGCAACTAAATAGTGAATGACGATGCAAATTCCAATAGCAACAGTAAGTCTGAGTTGGGATGAACAGGAATAACGGTCTCAGCTCTTTTCCCCCCTCCAGGCTGTGTGCAGACCTTGCGCAGTGAATCAGTTGGTCAGTGCTAGAAAGCTGTCAGCAACCTTAAATACTGGAAAATAAAAGGGGTTTGGGTGGGCTTTTTGAGGCAGGGGGAAGGGAATATTACGGTTTGGATCATACTCCATGGTGAAGGTGTTGCCTCTGCCAATTCCTTGCTTAAACCATGGCATAAAGAGGCCTTGTGCCTTATTGCTGGGATAAATAGCATTGCTTTGTGGAGCACTGCATTATGCTCTTTTTCATTAGGCCTCTGTTGCACGAGGGAAGAGCAGGGGAAGTGGAGCTGAGGAAGAGGAACACCCTTACGAGCTGTTGCTTACAGCAGAAACTAAAAAGCCAGTTGCCGTGGATAGGAAAACAAAAGGTAAGTGACCATCCAAAAAGCAGAGCTGTTTGCTTAGATGCATTTAAGGAAAATATAGAGGGCAGAGAGTAACTGGAACAATTAAACTTTGTTGGGTGGGGCAGCTGGGGTCTGGATGGCAATTGTTTTGTTTCCTGGTAATCTTCACTTTTATAAAGGGGAGATCTAAACATTCCTGTGTAAAATGTACGTGGAGGAAGGGCAACTCTGCTATTTTGAGAACTAAGAGATTGCGAGGACCTACTCTGTTACCTTAGAAAATAAGCAGATCTTGTGCACAGTCAAGTAAATGCAGAGGGATGGAAGGCTGTGCCATGTTGTTACAAGTGAGATGAACCAGTGCAAGCATTTAAATGAGCCGTATTCTCCATCCAGCTGAATTTGAAGACCTGCTGGCGTTGCATGTTTATATCAGCAGATGATTGGCCCTGCTATCCTGGTCTTAAAATCAACATCCCGCTGTGTATTAAAGCTAATTCGAGATGTAAACTAACAAAGGAGGAAAACAAATGTGTAGAGCAAGTCCCTTTCTAGAACTGACTGAAAATCCACTATATAGCCAGGTTAAGTATCGAACTAGTCCCTCTTCTCCCAGAGGGACTTTTGTGCTTTACAAAGGATCTGGGAACACCTTGTCTCTTGTGTTTGGCTATTGCTGGGCTTTTTGGCTTTCCTTCAACAACAATAACAAAAGATCTGTTTAGAGGAAAAACATCTCTTGCTTTATTCAAAAGTCCTGAGCAGGAATTTAGAAGGATTTAGTTTGGACTCTAAACCTGGAAACCATTTCACTTTGAGGATGAACAGAGGATAATGAGGACTTCATGTGATGCCTCATTGACTGCCCTGTAAGACCTGCAGCTTTTTTTTTTTTGTTCCTTCTTCCAGCATGATAGCTTTCATGCCTTGAGTCCTGCTGCACTCCTAGCTTGTATAGGGTGGCACAAGAGGTCATTGTTTTCCCACCAGCATTTGCCAAAGCCACTTGCTGCCGGAGGCAAAGTTAGGATGCTTTTCAGGTTGGTGCTTTGTGGTCTCCGCCAGGAATAGTCCTTGGGCGACAGCCATTGAACCAGAAGCTTTCAGGCTATCTTTTCAGTGTGCAGCTATTGCTGGTTATTCAAGTGCAAGCTATTCCTGACTGCTTTGCTCCTTTCTCTGGCTACCGTGTCTAGGCTTGATTAATACGAGTGAAGGTGTGTCATAATTATGTGTCGGATTAAAATAAAATCTCAAAGTAATGCATCTGCTTGTTCTTGTGCAAATCTCTTCCCCTGAACGCCTGAGGACGTCAGTACTGCAGACCGTCTAAGCCCCATTTCATGGAGAGGTTGCAGGAAGCATCTTTAGCCTATTAACGATCCAGAGCAGAGAGTCCTGTCTTTTAATGTAACAGCTAGAAAGATAATATCTGTGACTTCAGGGTTTGCAGTCTCTGGAAAGTGTTACTGTGTTTGTAACAAACTAGGGCTTTTTCCACTGTTGTAATGGGAGAAATCCAAGGCTGCAGTAGAGTTTTCTCATCTTCCAGGGCTTGTCTGCTCTTTTAAATGCAATTAGCACTATGACTAATGCAGTGGAGGCTTCGATCTGGTGGAGGTGAAGAGCTGCTCCTGGGGGGAAGGGGCCCGGCCAATGTATTTCTCATCTCTTGTATTTCTTAAGCTTGTCAGAGCCATCTCCCATTGCTCTTTGTGGTGGACCTGGAGAAAGGGACACGATTGTTTGCCCCCCTTCTCCAGAGGGTACCAGCTGTTTTCCAAAACATCTCGGTGTGATCCCTGTGGCACAACTGCACGTGTGGCAGTGTCCCCAGCTGGCAGCTCTCACTGCAGGAGCAGCTGAGCTTTGACAGGGCCCCATGTCATCTTTCACCTGCTGCTTGTCCTCTTGGGGACTTCAGGCTTCTCAACCCCAGTAAGAAATGAGGCGCTGACTATTTTTCTCTTTTGTCTTTAGCACGATTTTTCTGTTTTGTGTTGTTTGTGCTTGCTTTCTGTCACAGCATTACAGGTTGCTTCTTTCTGCACGTGAGTTGCATAACTGCTCTGGAAGGGTGGATCAGCTTTGAGATCTGCTTTATTTCACTGGGAACAATAGGAAATGTTTCTGGCTTCTGCAGTAGTTGGGGTCAGATGCCAGAAGGGCATGTGGAAGCAGACGTAGCTAAGTATGAAATGCGATGTATATCCTGATGGGAGGGGGAGAAGATGCATTTAAGGAGTAGCAGAGTTGTTTTGGCAAAAAGTTAAACAAGGGCTGAGTGAGGGACTGAAGCCTTAATTGGGGTGTTGGACAATTTTTCCGCCTCTGGATCAGAAGGGTCCTGGAGCATCAAAGGCAGCAGCTCAATCCCAAGACAAGGACCAGGCTGAAGCATGGCTTTGAATTGCTGCTTGGACCTTGAGCTGAGAAGCTGTGCTTCTAGTTGTTACTTGATGAGTTCTGGAGGAGCCTTTGGTCAGAAGAGAAGGACTTTGATTCTTGCAGGCTCTTGAGAAGGACTTTAAGGGCAGTAGAAAAGCTGGATTTCAGGCATGCTGTTTTTAATGGTGCCTTTCATATGTGATAGCCGCCTTTGTTCCTCTTGCTGCAAGTTGTCTTGTATCCAGTGACTAGATGAATGTGGTATTATCCGCCTGGCTTTGGTTGCCTTTTGTGTATGTTACAGCACTTCGCTGTCACATGCTGGAGCACTAGGAAAAGTTGGCCTAATGTTTTGGGCAGAGTATCAGAAGCTGTTTGAGCCAAATGCTTTCCCATCCCCTTTGGTAAGGAAACTACGTGCAATCGCATGCATGAAGTCAGGGCATTCAGACCTTGAACAGGACTTGTAAATAGGCCAAGAGTGCCAAACCGTGTGTGGACTGACCGGGAGGAGACTGTTCAACTCCTGTTGTGTTCAGAGAGACCTGGTGGAGGATGAATGCAGAAAATACTTCTGAGTTTTGATGTCTGTCTTGCTTCTCAGGAGAGTCATCCACAAGTGCTGTCAGCAGTAACCATCTGCAGGTAGGACTGACTTGGTTCCTTCTGATAGTTGTTAAAAACTGATATTTGTTAAGGTTCTGCTGTGCTGCTTCCATAGGGAGCCCAGCTTGAATCATAGAATAGTTTGGGTTGGAAGGGACCTTTAAAAGTCATCTAGTCTAACCCTCCTGTAATGAGCAGGGACATCATTGAAGTCCCTACTTTGCCTTACCTCCTGCTAGAGGTTTTCTTTATGGTTATACTGGTTCAACCAGATGTATGACGGTGCTCTAAACCAGACATCTGAAATGAGCCAATGATAAAAGACAAAACATGCTGCAGAGAGATTTAAAGAAAATATCTTTTCAGAGAGCCAGAGTATGACTGCAGAAATGGTGGGATGGGTATCGCTATAGGGAATCTATGGGGACACATGGCTATTGCAAACAAAGGTTGGAAGGGACAGAAACCTCTTGGTTTGCCGTGAGATGAATGATAGTGTAGGACCACAGCCTACATGCCCTCACTTGGTTTTATCATGCCTGGAGGACAGACCCCTTTCCTATGTCTCAGGTCCAAGACTGCATTTCTGTTGTCATGATGTATTTAGAAGCTTCTGTGCAGAGTCATGTTAGTGATCTCTAAGCAACTAGAACAGTGTTTTATTGCCCTTTCTTAAAAGGGGAATAGGGAGGGGGTACAAAAGAGCACAAGTTCAGGTAGCTTTTGGAGGATAAACTCTGTCCAAAATGACTGAGCTTGATGAGACTAATACAGGAGCCTATTGTACACATCTGTGTAAATGAGCCTTTATTTCAGTTTTACTGCAGTTGAAGGTATTTTTGCACCTCTAAAATAGCACCCTAAAGGCCAGATTCCTTCTCTGGCCTTCTATGCCACAGGAGGAAGATTTGCATGCTCCTCACTTGACAAATTTTGGCATCATGTAGCATGGGGAGCCTTTTCTATATGAAAATTAGAGACTAGCATATGCCCTTGCTAGTTTTAAGGTTGGGGAGCTTGAGCAAAAAGCAGCTGCAATAACAGCTTCATTCTCCTAATCCAGGGGCATGAAACAAATCCTGCTGATGATATATAGGGAAAGAAATTTGATCGAGGCAGGGTGGTTGCAGCTTAGTGTTATGAGTTTAGGGAAGTGCTTTGTATCTGGAATCATCAGGCTGCTGGCAGGGAAGCTCTTAATTGAATCCTCCCTGGGAAGCAGACCGTCTGTACCCAGAAAGGGGTTCCCATTCCCATTAGGTGTTGGAAGTTCCTCCCGTCAGTGAAACCTGCAGCAGGCGTTGGCTGAAGAAGTCAGGACCAGTCAGATGTCTGTGCTTCGATGTAAAATGAGCTAAGGGAGTTGGACAGAAGAGCCTGTCTTAAGGATGACTCTCTTTCTGAGTTAAAAGGTGTAACTTGAGGAGAATGCTTTCAGATCCCTTGAAGTGCAGCAGATGGATAGAACTGGGGTATCTCTGTTTTTCTAGCACTTAAATATTATTTTCCCCTTCTCCAAATTCACTACACCCTTGAAAAATGAGTCATGTTCATCTTTTTGACATGAGAAAAGTGATGAGCACATCAGCTGAATCATGTCAGTAACCTATCCCACAAAGGTACACCTTCCCGAGATGGCCAGTGGTTGTTCTGGCCTCTCTGCTAGCCATCGTGAGGCACCTTTTAAGTTGAAACCCCCAAAGGATACCTTGAATCCCTGCGGAACTCTCTGTGTTCCTGCCTTGTGCACCTGTGATAAAAAGGAGTGAGATTGCTCTTGCCTGCCTATGTTCGTTCTTCCGTCTGCGGCTTTCAGTACACACCTGTGTTACATGCTCTGAAATGTCTCCTTCAAGGTGTTCCTCACATCTTCTGAGCAAGTGCTGTTGCCCTTGCTTCATCCCTTCCTTCGTACCTTCTTTCCCTGGCAGCTGCCTCATATTTTGAAGTCCTTCATTGGCTCGAGGATGAATGGGCGGCTGTGGTTTCTGTTCAACAGGAGCCCTTTTGTGAGTCTCTGGAGCTGGATTTGGAGCACTTTGTTCAGGCTGGACCCAAGTATTCCAGCACGTGGCATAAACTTTCACTAGCCGCCTCTCTGCCTTCAGCAGAAATGTCAGTAAAGGTTAAGCTGGGGCATGGAAGAAATTATTTCCAAGGAAGGACAGAAGTTAAGAAGAAAGGCTGTTGATTTTGCATAAGTTTTTCCCTTCCCATCAGGTTAATGTGACTGTCCTATCAGTGCTGTGTCCCTCTTACCAGGTCAGTAGCTTTTTCTTAATACCAGTCTGTCCTATGAACGCAGCATGTCTGATCTCTTCTAAGGTTTCTCTCCAGCATTACAGCTTCATAACTTTATGCAAAGTAACTGAACATAGTCTGGTCTGGAGATCTTCTGATGGGGTGCTGCTGTTGGCACTCCCCGGCCAGCGTTAGGAACGATGCTGGTGACACCACCTGCCTGCAGGGGATGTGCCTCCCCCTTGGCAACTGCAGTTGCAGAACTTGTGGTGTATGTGCCCGTGCAAGATAATCAACAACTACTTCATTGTCCTGGAATCTTTAACTCACAGGATCCAGAATGAAATAAGCCCTTGCATCACTTGATCCCAGCGAGAAGCGAGATCCGTCGGCGCGCTGCCCTGGCAATTAACCTCCGTTCAGGCTTTTGCTGTTCCTGACTCAGCTGCCAACTGAGCAAGCTGCTTTTAGCATTTCTGTGGAGTAAACAAATGCCTGTGAGAGGGACTAGCTACGCTCATCAAACACAGGGCGCATGAGACCCCAGGATCTGAAGCGGCTTGCAAAGACAAATGACTAATTCAGTCCTTTCCTGCCTCATTTCTGGTGTAAGGACAGACCATGAAACCAGACGCGTGTTAGTGTTTGAAAATGACCTGGTCAAGCTTAGTGCTGGAAAGGATGCTTGAGGGGAAGGAGTTGATCTCACTGTTGTTGCCAATAGCCTGCTTTTAATTAAAGATAAGTAAAATACACTAATGAATTTTGCCTCACTGAAATGAGGATTCCTTTCCCTTGGCTTCCGAGAGCTGCTGTCTTGCAAAGCAAGCCATTTCCTCTTCACATCTAAACATCCTCCTCTTCTTTCAGAGCCACTTTATCAGGGTGCTCTGCTTTATTGTTCCTTTGCAGCGTCATTTTTTGGACCTCAGACTGAAGAGTGTTTCTTCAGCACTAAATGGAAGTGGTTAAAATTTGCAAGCAATTATGGGCAGGTATAGGAATCCTTGGTAAACAAAAGTTATACTACTTAGCTTTACAAAGTTTCGCTTTGCAGTTCAAATGCGCATTCGGATGTGGCCAAGGTGAGTACATATATGTCTGTGGACATGCTTGGCAATTGGGATCAGTCAATTATTCATGATTTATGCAGATCCCTGGTACCTGATATTAAAGATGTTGGTGCAGGAGTAGCTGAGTAACAGTGTCATATTTCTGGGACAGCCGGTACTCCACACAGCTTGCTCCGTTAGTAGATCAGACCATTCTGTGTTCAGTGGTTCACTTGCAAGAGAGAGACTTTTTTGATCAAGTTTTTTATTGCATAAACTGTTTATTTCTCTCCCCTGAGTAAGGAGGAGAGGTTAAACTCGGAAACCACTAGGGAGGAAAGCAGTGGTTTTTTTGGGGAACGGATTTTGGAACTCGCAGGTTGATTACAGTCCAGAAGTTTTCCCACCCTGCAGCTCGTGCCAAGAGCAGGGAGCGCTGCTCTAAATAACACTTTGGCCTTTATGGAAATGTATCAGATGTTCCAGGAGCCTGTGTCTCTGCTTCTCCTACCTCACTTGCTCTCTCTGCAGGGTATAGTTAGCACTTCTCTTAGCCTTATATAGCAAGGCCTGATAGTTAGTGTTAACAGGAATAAAACAACAAGGAGAGCTGCCAGATTGCATAAATCAGGCCAGTGTTTGGAATTTCATAAATGCCATGACTTTGGGTACAAGTTGAGCATGCAGAACAATACTGAACTGTTCTCTCTTTATCTCTCCCTCCCTTGCTGAGGGAGGGCAGGGGGAGAGCTGGAATTTTGCTGCTGCTTCCATGTTTTTAATTTCCTGCCCCCCCCTCCTATTTTCATCCCCTTGAAGACCACAGGAGGAGCAGTGGCAGCCGCAGCCAGGACTCTGCCGACGGCCAGGACATCCAGGTTCCAGAGCAGTTTTCAGGGTTGCTCCATGGTTCCTCCCCGATCTGTGAGATAAGCGAGGACCCTTTCAGGCTCGTTTCCTCCACGGAGAAAGGAGGCACGGAAGCTACAAGCCACCCACCTGCTATGCAGCTGGAGGATGCTGACTTACCTGCCCCTGGATCAGTACGGACCAGCTCTCCGGACCAAAACCAGAAAGTGGTCTACGCAACCGTCCAGCACGCACACGTCAACCGGGCGGATCCTGAAACTGTAGTCACGCCCCACGTGCTACAGCACCCCGGCGGTGCTGAGGAAGAGGGGGACAGAGCTGTGGGCAGAGCCCACCCGGGGAGCAAGCCCAAAGCTGAGCTCAAACTCAGCCGCAGCTTGTCTAAATCGGACTCTGATCTTCTGACCTGCTCTCCGACAGAGGACGATGCCATGGGGAGCCGGAGTGAATCGCTCTCAAACTGCAGCACTGGGAAGAAGAGGCTGGAGAAGTCCCCGTCCTTTGCTTCGGAGTGGGATGAGGTAAGGCTGACCTTGCTTAAGAGTTTCTGTGCCAGGAATGAATCTGAACAGCATGAGCTCCTCTCTACCACACTGGCCTTCAGAGGGGGTCCTGGGTGGTTTTCGTTACTTCTACTAACTCTCATTGCATTAACAGGCAAATGCTCACGTGTAAGTCTTTAAGGTGTTAAAATGCCAAGATAGGCTTAACTGGTGTGGGGGAGAAGCGGAATTGCAAGAAGTGAGGGGCTTGTCAAAGTTTAAGTTGCTCAAATACAGGGCTCGATTTTGTTTAGGCAAGACAGACGTTTTTACATCCCCAGAATGAGGGAGAGTTGATAACAGTGCTCCTCACAAATCTTTATGTTGACCTCCTCTTTCCAATTCTTCCCCTGTGGACCCTCCCCGCATCTGGAGGAGATGTTTTGTTTCTGGGTCCCTGCTGCTGGGGGGGTAAGCAGTGTCCTGGGTTCACGGGGATGGAAGGAAGAGAGTAATTTGACTGTGCTGTGTGTATTTAATAGCTCCCGCTTTCCTCTTCACATATTTATTTCAGAGGCTTGTTAGAAGTTACTTTATTGTAGTACAGGAGGCCCATGGATAGTTAAATATTTCATGCTCAGAAAGTTGGCCCTAGTGAACCACTCAGGCAAGATTAAGTGTCCCTCTGAAATTCAGCACCGCAGCATTACTGAAACATTCTTTGGAGATGATTCTCTGCTGGTAGAGCAGCAGCGCTGCAGAAGAGATAAGCTTAGATGAACTATTCTTTGTACACTGAAAGGAAATAAAACCCTGGCATGGTGCTGGGGGTGTGGAGCTGTGTGTGCTGGGTGTGTAAACTCGTGGGACGCTTGTGCCCCTGCTCACCTGTGCTCTGTGCACTGACTGATGCTCAGCTGCCTCTCTGATCCTGACTCAGAGATAAAATCATCTTTTATGGAAGAGGGAGGTATTCAAAAATGCTAAAAGCAAATTGGGAATCCCTCCTCAGTACGAGTCCATCCTTCAGTTCATACTCTCACTCCCTGCAGTGTTTCAGGGTTGCCAAATATATCTATTTTCCCTCTGTAGCTGTTTCGGTTGTAGAGGCTTTGCTGTTAATTACCTGGGTCAGTTGTACCATGGCTGTTAGTGAAGGATTCTGCAGCAGAAGGCTTATTTGAAAGGAGTGGATAATTTTCACTGTGCTTTTCATGCCTAACTGAACTGTCCATAGCAAATGTTGAAAGGGAGAAGAAGCCTCTGGCTTTACAGTGCCGCACAACTGTACTAGTAGCAGAGGTCAAGTGTTAGTGTGCCTGTGCTTCCTCTGCTCAGAGAAATGAACCCACAGATCGGCTTCCCTGCTTGTAAACAAAAAGCATTGTTTCCACCCAGTGTCAGCCTAACAAGCCACAAGAGGAAAATCTGCTTTTCCTTCCCGTTACGTTTAGGTGAGGAAATCAGAAAAAGAATGTGAAAAATTCACATCTGTCTACAATGGGGAGGTCTAACTTACAAAAATTTGTACTACCAAAACCGGATGGTTTTATTTGTCTTCCTGGTTTCTGGTGTAATTTAAACATTTTGGTTTTTTGAATTGCTTTAATCTGGTAGTAGCATCCTGTGGCTAGAGCACTGATTTGCCTTGGGGTCTCATGGCTGTCACAGACCAGCTTGAATGATTCTAGGCAAAGGTTTCTCCTCTCTGCCTCAGTTTCCCCATCTGTGAGATGGCAATAGCCTCCTTTTGCAGAATGTTTTTGTTCCCACTGAAATGTTCTCATAAGAAGGGGGACAAGCCAGCAGCTGGTGATTCACTGCCTTTAGCTTGAATTGCTGTTTAATTTCCAGAGACTGTATAGAGAGGCATGTGGGGTCTCATTCTGACTCCTGGTGCAACACTTGCACTCTTTGATGCTGTCGGCAGGAGGGGCACAGTTCACGGGGTAGAGCAATTTTCTATAGAAGGAGCATAAAATGGAGTTGCTGATAGTCAGTAGTTTATATGGTCAGGCTGGTTCTTGCTATAAAATATCCTGAAGCAGACTCCTATGATTGTTAAGAAATGGTAAAGATGCACCTGTGGGGAAGGTTTGGGGTTTTTTTGCAGTGATTTGTATGTGCAGGAAGGGGCTGATCTATCTGGTCATAATGGCAACAATGAGATTTAAACATAAATGTAGTGCTGTTGTTGGAGGTTTAATTAGTTCCTGAATGGGATAATGCAGCTGCTCTGAATTAGATGCAACTTGCTGCCTCTGAATTTACCAGGCTAATATAAAACCTTATTGAGCTGCCCCGTTAGCAATGATTTGGCTCTTCCTCTGTGTTGAGGGGAAACAATGGCAGATTTATGTGCATTATTCTGTTAATTTTAATAGTCTTTATGCAGGCAACTGAGGAGGAAAGTGATCCATGTGCAGCTCTATGCAACACGCAGCTGTAGCAAACAAGCTGAGGATTTTGCCCAGTGGCCTCGCCAGCAGTAGGTGTGTCTGTTCAGGGTGCCGGGGACTTGGGGAGGGACCTGTTTATGTCTGTGGACAGATGGGATCCGTGGCAGAGGCTGAGCTAGCATCGCGCTGGGCCATGGGTGACTGTGCTCGGCTAGTCTTGCTGACCGGGGACAGCAGGAAAATCTGCTGCTTGGAGGCGAAGGGTCACGTCCCTTCCCCAGCCAAGCGCTGCCAATGCCCTTTGTTGGAAGTGGAAGGTGGTGCCGGCTTTGCCAAAAGGGTGGGATGGGGAAGAAATGATTCACTTGGCAAAGCTCGTCCTTGTTCCCAGTTGCAGCTCCCCTGCTCCAAGGACCTGGCCCGAATAACAGATGCCGACAGTGTTGCTTTGTGCTCTGTGCTGCAAAGGAGTTTGTTCAGCTTGTGTCCCGTCTGCCGCCTCACCCACCGGCTCTTTCATGGGAGCGTGAATGCACGCGTGATGTTCCCCCTCAGCTGCTGTTGGATATAAACTCCTTGCAAGCAAGCCAGAGAAATTCTTAAAGCAAACAGCAATGTATTGCCCAGGGAGAAGGGTGAGGAACGAAAATGTTCGATCCTCTGCTTGAGTGGGAAGCAAGCTGGGGAGAGGAAGCGTGCGAGGGGGTAGAGTTCCTGGTCAGCATAAATATTAGAATCCTTCCAAACTTGGCTGAGGGCTAAAGTGATAAATTTGTTTTTCATAATCGGCTCATAAATATTTAGCAGATTGGAGATGAGCATGTGGCAGTCGCAGCCCACTATCAGTTTTATATGGAAGAATAAACTGCTTGCACTCCTGAAGGAGGAGGGGGGCTCTCGGCACCCGTCTCGGCTGCCAGCCCTCTTTCCGGGGCGGATTAACTCGCATCTGCTCGGCCTTCCTCCTCCACAGAGCAGCTCCAGCCCTGCACATCTGCCCGTGTTCATGCACGAGCCCTGCCGTAGGCAGGCGATCCTTGCATCGTGCAAAGCGGTACTGGAGTCCCTTGGAGTTTGTTCAGCAAACCCTCCCACCCGCAGGGTGTGATCCAGGAGGGGCTGAACTGATTTCTCTCTTGATAAGCTGTTTCAGATCTCTTTGAATGAAAGGCGACATATATGTGTCTAATATGAGTAGTAAGCTGTTTAACAAAGGCTAAGGGGTATGCAACAACTTTGCTTTATTCTGAGCCCATGCCATCTGATCACTCTTAGCCAGGTTGAGGTGCTGAATTGTTCCTTCTCCCCCTGCCCCAGCTTCTGTTGTGGTTTTTTTTTTTTCCCGGGTCCTTTTATCCATTTGATAGATCAGCGTGTCTGTGCTAAAGAAGAGAGCCTGACCAAGATGAAGTAAAACTTTGTCACAATCATTCACTGAGCTGCCGCAGCTCCGCTGGTGAAGCAGCTTCCTGACAGGGAGAGTAATTAGTGGGGATGTAATCTCCTGGGGGAAGTGGCAGAGGAAAGATGGCTGGGCTTGAGGATGTTGTGAAATAGGCCTCTAAAAACTGCGCCAACTTGAGAAGAAGTCGGGCTGTGACAAATGCTTTCTGTCCCTTAGATGCTGTCAGGTTGATAAAAGCAATGCACAGGTATTTGGAAGTCACGTCCTGTGCAGCCTCGCTTCTCACAGGACCAAGCAAGGTGAAGTGAGAATGCCTAAATGCAAATAGCAGATAAAATGGGCTCTGTTTGTAGAGGAGAAAGAGGAGGGGAGACATTTGGCTTCGGCAAAATGCAGAGGTGTTGGGTAGTACCTTGGCTTCAGGAATTTAGGTTCAGTGCCTTTATAAAAGGTTTCTGATGCGCTGCTGCTTCTGCAATTATCTCCATTGTTCATTTCTGCTTTGTACCCTCTGCTCCTGCCTTTACAGCCAAGTCACCCTGCTCCTGGGGTTGGGTTTTGGGGTTGGTTTTTTTTGAGGATTGCAGGGTGCTTGTTCTTGATACATGTATGATCCAGGAGAAGCATCTGTGCAATCTGGTGTCACCAGCCCGTGTCTGCATCCACACTCTGAGCAGAGACATGTGGAGTTGAGTGCTGTTTGAGTTAGCTGCTCTTCTGGGTTGTAGGTGGCGGTAAGAAAAATGATCTATTAAGTGTTCAGGAGCAAAGAATGAGGCAGGTTACTGAGAATTAGCCTCAGACCTGGCTCCTGACATCCCTTAATCCTCCACTTCCAGCTGTCTGCTATCAAGTAAGTGGGTCTGATGCTGAATTTGTAATGCATGCTGGGCTCAGAAGTTCCAGCATCAATTTCACAAAATGAGGTAGTTGCTTTGTGTTCTGTCTTTAGCTCTTTTAGGAAGAGATTAAACCTCCTTCAAAAGAAACTTAGGGAACTGAATAAAAAATGCATTTTACTTGAGCTTTTTTTAGAAAAAGGGAGATGCACAGTCCACTACTTTGATGCATTTTTCTCCCCAAGTTAATTCATTGAAGAATGAATGAATATCCTGTAGCTAATTATGGCACTGGACAACCATCATCTCCTATGAATAATTGCAGTGGTGCTCCATGTTTCGCTATCGCAGCAGAAGGAATTCTTTCCCATTTGCAGTAACTGTGAATGTGGTGGT